GCGCAGCTGATTCGGGATGTAGCCGCTCGCGCGCACCCGAGAAAGTGGCCCGACTCTGTGGTCATAAAGGTCAAGGCTTATGGCGACATGACGGACCGGTTGGCCGTTGTTTGAAGGGAATGGTCCGCATTTGACGATGGTAGAGGAAGGCGCCAGATATGATGAAATAACCTCGCTTATAACTTTGGCATACTTTTAAGCTTGTAAGCGGAATAGACTGTTCTAGATAACGCAGTTTCTCTCTTCAGTTAATACGTTCCTCAGTGCGTCGTTGTTTGAATACGTCATCATGCCCTGTACATCATTGGTTGACAGCCAGTTGACGGCCCAAAGTGGAAAAGACTGCTCTTCACACAGCACTTCTTACTTCAGTAAATATGGTTTTAATACGTCATCGTTGATGTCATCGACCTTGCACAACATTGTTTGAGAGTCAGTTGACGGCCGTTTCATCTGAAAACCGTGCACACGAACGCCAGACAGGAACGACTCGACAATTCTATTTTTCTTGGCCTTGATTGCTGCATTGCTTATGGAATAGCGGGATGTAAATGACTGGCGTCATGGATGCCTGGGTGACCTTTGAATAGTCTGCACATCGTCGTGACGTGTATCTCAGAAACTAGAGTGGTTTAGTTCTTTAGAAGAGCAGGACTGTGAAATGCCCCGAGTGATCTTCAAGATGGCTATTTCAGTTTCAAACCCCCTACAAATGTGGAACACTCCCTTTAACTGGTAAAGATGCCCCGGGCAGATTCCTCGAGGCCCGACTTGGTAGAAGTCGAACGTTTCGGGAAGGACCTCGGACGGATCCGTAGTTTGTGATGCCCAGGTCCGCTCACAGTGTGCTGTCACCAGCCGGTCCCTCGCGTCCCGCCGTACCCGTGAGTGGCGGCGCTGGCCAGCGGCTGTCACCATGTGCGGGAGCGGCACAGCGGCGTCTGCCGCGCCGGCCGGCATCCGGTGTGCAGGGTCGGCCGGGCACCTACGCCCACGCGGCACGCACGGCCACGGAAGTGAGCGCGAACCCGCGACCGACCCATGCCGGTCGGCGGTGTCCCGGCCGCCCGGCAGCGGCGACGGGGTGCCGTACCGCGGCCGACCGAGCGACCGTCGGCCAGCTGTCAACAGAGCGGGGCCGAACGGGCTCAGTTCGGCGGATGGCCTGGGGCGGGCTGGCCGGCTCGGTCAAAACATGCGGGGGCCGCCACATGTCCCCAGCTGGAAATGGGCGACGTTGGCTGGGGAAGGCTGCTGTTCGACTTAAGTGAATTCGAATGTAAGACTGTCACGTTGTACAGGGAGCCTGCTGTCTTTCCAGCCTTTTGGATGCGTCAGCTGGAAAACATTGCCTTTATTCTGTCACTGTCGCCTTCGTTGATGATGCTTGTACTGGGCCTTTTCCTGAGCCCTGGCCTGTGATGACCAGGCTGTAGTATTGAGAGGTCAGCTCTCACTGGAGGTGGTGCTGTGACTTGCATTGCCCAGGACCACTGGATGACATAGAGGTACTGGTGCGGTATAGTAAGCTGCGAAAGACCCGTGTCTCCACATTTAACGCATCGTAGAATAAGTAAGGGGGACATTTATATATCAATTCAGTTATGTGCACATAATGCACATCATGCCATAATGTCATAATGCACACCATGTTAAGGGTCGAAGGCGTTGTTGAGCTGTGCACCTAACACCTCTTATCTCACTTTCTCACCCCCCTCCCTCCCCCCATCGGTCTCCTTGGGATGACCACCCTCCAACTGCGTGTGCCCCCCCCCCCCCCCCCACGCTCGGATTTCTTCCGTAAAGGCTTCTGATTGTTCGGAAAACAAGCCATGATGCCACGAAACGGAAACACTCTGTGAAACAACTGGCGTTATTCGGCTGTGGAGAGTAGAAAGTAGGGTCGCTGGTTGACTCGAGTTGGATGGACGCAGCACAATGAACCTTGACGCAACAGCTCTCGGGATACCGCAGTCATTCTTTGTCTCCTCGTCGCATGTGCGCAGTGGTAGGCACCCACGCGTTCCCCTCGTACTGTAGACGCAAGGCTGGCCGTCACCCGCTGGTGCCGACTGCAGCCCACGACTGCAAGCAGGGTAATTTATCCTTCGTAGGGGCGTGGTGTACCATGCTTGGACATGGTCGCCGTCCGGGTGCCGCTGACGCAGACCACCGCCCGTCACTCGCCGGGATGTCCGTCAGGGCGGGGGCGATGGTGTCCGCGCTCTGCGGCGCGGCCGCCGGGGGCCGCGCGCGAATAGTGCAAGTCACGCTGCAGCCGGCGGGGACCGTTGGCGGCACCAAGGCCGGCCGCGGTGGCGCCGCCGCCAGGTCGGGCCGCCCCGCCCCCCCCCCCCCCCGACCTTGCCTGGCCGTACGGGTCCCGCCGCGCCCCCACCGGACGCCCGCACGGGGGTCATGTGGGGTCGGTAATGGTTGCCGGAGCCGGACGTGCTCTGGCCAGCCCGGCCTGCTTTATGGCCCTGCTCGAAATACGCGCGCCACCGGTTTAATCTGGTAAGTGCAATTTTGGAGCCGGCTGGAAGACAATGGGCGTTGGCTCAGCTACCCTTTGTAAATGAGGCCGCAAAATGGCTGTCAGGGAGAAGTGGTCTCCATGGACTATGCTGAGTTTCCGAAACGCGCGTGCCACGGATCGAATCTGATAGGTGCAATTTGGGAGCCAGCTGGAAGACCGTGGGCGTTGGCTCAGCTTCCGTTTGTTAATGAGGCCGCAGAATGGCTCTCAGGGTGAAGTGGTTTCCATGACCTGTGTTGAGTATTCCGGCCAACGCCAGCTAACAGGAGACGGAAATACCGGCCCGATCACCCGGAAACTACGGAGATGGAAACCCGCGATGACGAGACACGTTTGGTACGTGGCGCGGGGTCTCGGGCCGTCGCCTTCTACAGCGGACCTCCAGCTGCTCGGTTGACGCTGTGTGGTACGTGTTCGATTTATGCTGATCACCTGACTGGGAGCGGGAAAGGATGCTGGCTTCCACAGTCGCATGGCACGGCCAACTCCGAAGAAGAGTGGGGTGCGGGCCGCTGTGGATTCCAAACAGAGGGTCATGAACATGTGCTCCGCAGCTGCTCTTACCAACAGATGGTTCTTGACGTGCTTCGTATGTTGATATGATTTTGAAGAGGGTAATCTGATCATAAGTTTTTGTGCTCGGTATTTTGGCAGAACCTTGGCGGTGATTGTCACAAGAGGCCTCTATCAAGTGTCACAAGAGGTCTCTATCGTCTATGAATGCCTACTCGAAGTTTCTTTTCCTTGTTTTGTTCTGCGGGGCTTTGGGCCGCTCCTTTGTCTGTACTTTCACGCAACGTATCTGGGAGGCCTCTTTGGTTCCTGTTTTGTTTCCAGTGTTTGTCACCAGCGGCACAGTATAGACAACAGTGATGGAGCCCGCAAGGGGCCGGGAGACGGGGAGCGCGCCGGCTCAGAGCAGGACATTGCGTCGACATGCTCTGTTTTCTGTTATGGCATCATGTGTCCATATTTGTCCGTCCCTGGTTTCTTCGGGTACAAGTCTCCGTCCCAAGCAGCCGTGGTGTGATCGGACACTGCGACAGATCGGTTCTGAAGGCGGACTCACTCAGTTTCCCGTAAAAAATGCACCAGTCAGACATGGCACGTTTACAGTGTGCTGTAGTCCAGTTTTGAGCATAGCCAATCAGTGCATCGCTGGCCTGTAGCCGATCTTAAACCGGACCTCCCCCCCCCCCCCTTCCCCCGGCTGCATGCATTTCACCGTGACCGTGCGCTCGTCGGCGCGAAGTCCCCGGCTCCACGGCGCGGCCGTGTCAGCCGGTGGGCATCGGGTCCCTCCCGGCTTCGCGGCGGCCGTTAGCCAGTGGGCGCGGGGTTCTGCAGGCGGCGCCCGGCTCGGCCGCAGCCGGCGCTGACCTGGCGAGAGGCCGCCTGCACTATGCCTGACTTCGCGGGCACTGCTGCCGTCTGTGGAGCAGCGCCCAGCCGAGGAGAGCAGACCGTGTAACGGAACGATCACGGTTGGCGTGTGAATGAGCGTGTTTGTGTGGCCGGCGGGATTACACGACGGGACGGCAGGGTTGAAGTAAGGTGGTGTAGTGGTATGTGCACCTATGTGGTAGGGGTATCACCATTCTAGTCAGGTCATGGATGCAGCGAGGTGATGATTGAGCGCAATTGCTGCTTCTTTGTCTTGTCTTCATGGTCTCTAAAATGGCATGGAAGCAGCTACACTTCTGAGACGACTCACTGAAGTTAAACTCAATAGTTCAGTGATCGCACACAGCACGAGCAGGACTTCAGCAAGATCCCAGTTTTCGGGCATTGTTAGATCTCATGCTGAACATAAGTGATCTTGGATATGCCATGAGGCACTGGTTAAACAACGATAGACTCGTTTTTTTAGCATTGTGAGCTCTTGTGCTGAAAATAGCTGACTCAAAATACCAGAGGGGGGGGGGGAAGGGGGACACTAGTTAAACGAAGATTTCATTCATTGATACACGTATGTTTAGAATACTCTGCGTTTCAAGACCGCGCTCATCGCCCCGACTGGATAATAAATGAGCTTTGGAGCTCCATTACCGATGCCCAAATTAAGGCATGCAAACTGACTCATTTCTTACAAGAACTGTACGCATCCACACCCCGCATCAACACGCCTGGTTTCCACGGCCTGTCACGGCTTCGGCTCCGCAGTCGTTCATTAAGTGGCGTGGTTTGTTATGCTATCTCATCTGTTGGCTGGTCTTACTTCGTCAGCACTAGTCGTTAAGATGATTTATGGGACTGCATAGTTTAAGAACATCAGTGTTGCACCCCTCGCTCCTCTCAACGCCATGGCTGCTGTGGACCAATAGCAAACGCGACTGGTGGCTGCTTATTCCAGTCCGGCCGTGCGAATGCTTTCGCGCCCACTTTCATTTGCTTTATATGCCAGGATGTAGCTTGCAGCTCGGGTGAAATTGAACGCCGTCCATGCACCGACGCCGCCCGCTCGTGCGCGCCCATTGATATCGTGCCCGCGAGTGCCCGTATATCGTGCCCGCGAGTGCCCGTATATCTCCACGCGTTCACCTGCGCCCTCGGATGGGTCCAGATGATCCCCATGTCGGCTGACGCTGCCGTGCTCTGCTTGCGAGCGTCCCCCCGCCTGCTGGAAGGCCTGCCGCCCTGCTGTCTGGGTCTGTCCGTCAATCAGCGATTCATAGCGTGACCGATGTTCCCCCTCCCTCCACCGGGCGGCGGCGCCGGGTCTCCCTCTGACCGGCGGCCCGTCACGTCCACAGAGCTGACGCTGCACAGGACGCAGGGCATCAAGGAGCGCACGCCTAACGCGCCGTGCGTCATCTACGTGGCCGGCGGCTACCTGCGCTTTAGCCTAGACAAGATGGAGTGTTACGCGCCCTGTGACCGGGTCTGGCACGAGCTGGCGCCACTGCCGGACGCGCGCTCCGGCCTTCGGCGGCGCCTTCATGGGCGGCCTGCTGTACGTGGTCGGCGGCCGGAAAAAACAACCCCACAGGTCAGCGGCGGACGGAGATGGAGGACTGCTGGCCGCACTGGTCAGTGGGGGCCGGAGAGGGGGACTGCTGGCTACAGGTCAGCGGCGGGCGGAGGAGACGGGGGGGGGGGGGGCTGCTGGCCGCACTGGTCAGCGGCGGGCGGAGACGGGGGACTGCTGGCCGTAGGTCAGCGTCGGGCGGAGACGGGGGACTGCTGGCCGCACTGGTCAGCGGCAGACGGAGATGGGGGTTTGCCGGCCACAGGTCAGCGGCGGGCGGAGACGGGGGACTGCTGGCCGCACTGGTCAGCGGCGGACGGAAATGGGGGACTGCTGGCCGCAGGTCAGCGGCGGTGAGGGGTGGGGATCCGACGCCGGGGGCCAGCGGCGGGGAGAGCACCGCGGGGCGGGGAATGGTGCACACGCTAGCGTCAGAGGAGGGAAAAGCGACCAGACGGGGATTCGTGGGAAGAGACACACATTGTTTGTGATCCATGAAATGGTGATAGCAGTAGCTCAAAGAAGGAGGCATGAGTTGAATAGGAACTGCATACCATCCCCAAGTTAGTGCCGTGGCATGGGCGGTGACACCGACCCACGGGGTATCCGTGTGGCTGCACAGGCACGGCTACCAACCCCGGTGGCCGCCCAGCGATCGGCGGCGTTTTTGTCAGCCGCCGTGAGGCTCGGGATCAACAGCCGAAATTGCATTTTTGCTGAGTCACCGGGCCACTCGATCCGGCTGCCGAAGGTGCTGAGTCACTGTCCGCCGCGGCGATCAGACACAGCAAAGTCGGTGGACTCCGACGCAGCCGTGATAAATGTGCCTTTGATTGCGGAAACCTGCAAAATGCCTTCCGCCGTTTGCCCGTTACGTGGTCCAAGGTCATGCCCGGAGGCCGGTCCGGCCGTGGCCCAGCGAGGCCGGCCGACACCGCACGGCCGGTCCGGGCGGGCTGGCTTCTGTCCCGCGTACGCCGCACTTTCACCGACTGGGGCGGCTGGGGGCTGCGGGCTGTGGGCGGGACGTCCGGCGATGGTGGACCGCCGCCGCCGCCGCCGCGCGTGCCGCCGTCCGTGCGTCACGTGCGGCCCTCTCACCGGCGCCCCTCTGCGCAGGCGTGCTGGACAGTAACCGTGTCGACTGCTACAACCCGATCACGAACGCGTGGCGCGCGTGCCCTGGCACGCTGGTGCCGCGCAGCCGCCTGGGCGTGGCGCTGCTCGACGGCTACCTGTACGCCGTCGGTTGGCTCCAACGGACAGCAGTTCCTCAACAGCGTGGAGAGGTGCGTGTGTCCGACGCGGCGCGGTGAGGCCACCCGCGCCGAGAACGCCGCCGCCGGCCTTGCGGGCGTTTGCGCGTGGTTTGCTACATGCTTAGTAATGAGAAGTAAAGGCGGATATGGCAAATAGGAATGGTACGTCTAGTTGTAGTTTGCAATGCTGTGTCTGCTAACCATCATACTGTGACATCCGTAAGAAGCTTGAAGCGTTTGTATGAAGCTGCTGTTGTTCAGACACTTCAGCTCTGGCGGGAAAGAATTCTGTGATCTTTTTGCGACATGGGAATATTCTTCGCTGTATTGTACAGCAAACTGTGTCCACCCACCTGAAAAGCCTTGTAATACCTGAAGTGATCTCGTGACCAGCCGTGACGGTGGCACAAGTGTCGGGGGCCTCCGCACCGTGTCCGACGAATGACGCACACAACAGCCGAATTAGAATAACGAATGACCTTAGGTGCAGCCCCGTCTGCCCTTGCCCGGGCGGCAGAGCTGACCCTCCCCCCTCCCCCCCGTCCGCTGCCAGGTACTGTCCGGACAAGGAGTTCTGGACGCTGATGCAGCCCATGTCGACGCCGCGCATGGGGCTGGGCGTGGCCATGGTGAACCGGCGGCTGTATGCCGTCGGCGGTTACGACGGCACGGCCCGGCTGCGCACCGCCGAGTGCTACCACCCGGAGGAGAACAGCTGGACGCCCATACCGCCCATGAACACACCGCGCAGCGGCATAGGTACGCACGCCGCGCCACAGCTACTATTGATTCACACCTCCACTGCACCATAATACCAACCCGTGCAATAGTCGGCCCACTCACTACTGCTGCAACGTGTTGTAGCGTACGCGACCTCCGTGTCTGGCAAGGAGTCCAGCCTTAACGACGTCGCCGGGCAAATCTGACGATCACGACCGTGCTGGAAGGCTCGGCTTTTAGCCCGTGTAGACTCGCGGCTGATGCAGTTCTGACGTGAGGGCCATCACACGCCTGTTGCGTCAGGGGGCGGGACGCGAGGGCGGGCCAGCCCCAGGTCTGTAAGCTGCCGTCGAATTACGTGTCAGTTCGATTACGGTGCAGTTCGGTAAGTCCACTTTCAAGTCGGACGGGGTCGGTGGGAGGGGGCGGCTGAGCATGCAGTACTGCCACCCCACTCCGCGGATGCCAGCGTGTTCTTTGCCGGAGTTGTCTTTCGCTGAACTGTGGCCTTGTTTGGCCATCTGTACCTGGACACGATAAAAGAATGTGTGCGCGTGGGCTGGAGGTCGGTGGTGAGTTTTGGCATTTGTTGCTATGTGGTGGGGTAGGATTTTGTTGTACATGTCATTCCGGTGTACGACGAAGGAGAATTTCTTGACGAAACTTACGGGACTAGACGGGAGCTTACACATGTGTGCGGAGACTTGGGAATGCCAAGAAACCGAAAATCAGGGCAGTTGATATTCTCGAAATATTGGCGTCCTTGTCGAACTGTTTTGGTTCGTGGCAACAAGACTAAAATGCGTAACCGGAAGGACAGAGGAGAAAAGGGAGACGAAACGCCCAAAAAAAGAACCGCAGCGCGCTGCGGCTTCCCGACCGCCGAGTGCTGTCGTCGGGCCCGGGAAGTCGAGGCGTGCGGTGTAGTGCAGCGTCAGCAGGGGCGTTACGGCTGTGACGGGGCCGCGTGCAGCGCACAGCTCTCGCGTCGGCCCGTGACTGCAGCGGCGGTGCCCGCGGCGCCCGGCCGGACCGGTCGCCGGTTGTTGCCGAGTCACGGCAGCTGGCCAGATTGTCCGCGTGCCCGGTGGTTCCCTCGGAGGGCGCGTGGCCGACGGGGCCGGACCTTCCCGAAGGCCGCGCCCGGACGCGCGGAGGAAACGGCGGCGAGAGGCGCGCCCCGTCACCGCACCGGCACGCCTCCGGCGGCCCCGCGCCAGCCGGCTGGGGACGCCCTGATCGGGAGAGCATGTGTCAAGGGGCATGTTTGTGATAGCTGGCTCCTCATGACGACATGTGGTGGGCTGACGTGATGGATGTGGCTTGTCCGATGTGTCGTCGAGCCGTGACGGGACCGCCGTCGTTAGCTGGCGAGCGGGTGGTATCGCTGCCCGCCCGGACTGACCCTGACCCTGACCCGGCCCGCACCCCTCGTCCCAGGCATCGGCGTCATTGACCGGTTCGTGTACGTGGTGGGTGGCTACGACGGCAACCAGCAGCTGCGCACCGTCGAACGCTACGACACGGAGGAGCGCCGCTGGGAGATGGTGGCGCCGCTGCCCGCCCCCAAGTCGGCGCTCAGCGTAGCTGGTACGACGAAAGGGCAAGCTGTACGCACTCGGTGAGTGGTCGACCGCCGCCGGGCCCACAGCAGCGGCCTGACCCGGCGCCGGAGGCTCGGCCGCACCGTCACCGGCAACGGGCGGCGGGGGGGGGGGGGGGGGGCGCCAACCTTTCCTGGAGGCGGTGTGTGGGGGTGCTGACCCGGCACCACGTGAGGGTCGTGACTGCGCACGCCTCCGCAGGTGCCCCCGGTGCGCGGCCGCCGTGGTCCGTGTTGTACGCGGATGTGTCGCATAAGGATGACTTTCACTTCGATGCCGCCGCCGGAGTTGGTGCGGCCTGTTCCCATGCGTTCAAGCTGCTCAGCATGTTTGCTGTCACGCCTGTTAGGCCGGGATCACCAGCGATGATTAAGCCTGTGGGTCAGACGCCTATGTGCACACTGTTGCAACGCTTGGAGGACTTTGCTTCGGTGGCAGCCAGATAACATCCGATGGAAAGTCCACTCTGAAGAACAGCTGGGAGCGTGCCGTGCCCATGGTCAAACGTCAGCCCTTTACTATGTCGTGCGCCACGCGAACGGCGACGGTTTGCTTGGTGGATTAATTTCTTCCTGGTATTGACAGTACACATTGCCCACCGGGAGTGTCTTGGAGTGTTTTGTCATGCTCCGATAAGATTACCTGAAATGCCAACGTCGTGGCATTTCGGTATGTGGAGAGGCTGTTTCGCAGTGGAGGGGCTGGGGTCGCAAGCTCAACTCATGACCCCAACCCACAACACGATCAAGAACTGCGGGCACAAACTGGTCGCAGCGGCAATTGCCGTCCTCCGGGGCCTGAGCGATGACTGTTACCCTGGCGCCGCGTGCTGCCGGACCGCGCTGACCTCTTGAACCCCTTGGCCGCGTCACCAGGCGGCTTCGACGGCAACCACTTCGTCACGCTCGGTGGAGATGTACGACCCGGCGCGCGAACGCGTTGGACGGCGTGCGCGCCGATGACGTAGGCACGCTCCGGACACGTGTCGGCCGCCTCCGTGCGGCCCTGCTTCGTGCACACGGACCCGTGCCTGCTGGACCGGCGGCAGGCCGGCGGCGGCCAGCACGGCGCCAGCTGACCCCGGTCGGGCGCCGCCTAGCCGGCCGCGCGCCTGCCAGCGAGGGCGCGCGCGCGGGCGTACCTGAAGCGCGCGGACCGGGCGCGCGGTGCAATACGCGACGGCGGTGACGGACGGCTGTGTGGGGGCGGCGCTGTGGCGGCGCGCCCCGGAGGCTTGGGCGGGCGCGGCACCTCGTGGGCCGCCGCCCGCGGTGCCGTCCCGGTGTAACTGGTGAGCACCGGCGCACCGTACCGGGATCACGCTCCTGGCACTGGCCATGGCCAGCGTGGCGGCGTCCGACCGTGTCTGGACGAACGAGTTGTGTTGGTTATGAACCACGATGGCGGGATATTAGGTGACCGCGTGACGCGAGTGTCTTTTACGTGCCGATGCCTTGTTTACGGATGTTCGGGGCGGGGGTGTTAGCACAGGTGTAATGTCGTATCTGCGGCGCGAAATTTCCCTTCATTTAAATGTGCGATTACCGCAGTTTGATAATGCCGACAAATCACCATGTCGGGTTTCAAATTATTGCACAATGTCATCAATGCTAGCTCCAAACACACCCTCCTGGTGATGCTGGCCGAAACGATGCGTTGTGATAGGCTTGGCGACACCGGTGGGTATCTTTTATTCTGCAGTCGCTTATGCTGATATGATGCATATCATCCGCGAGATCTCTGCAGTTGCGAGTAAGACCGAACCAGATTACGGTTTTTCGGGGGGAGGGGGGTGCAGTAGACGAGGGCCAACTGAAAAGCTCGCAGCCCAGTGAGGAATGTGTTGAGCTAGAATCAGTGCGTTACAGCCGTAGGACTTCGCGGCCGTGCCGGCCCCTCATACTATTACATTACATCGCTAATGCACTGTCATGCCCGCTGCTGATTGCATTGCCCGGTTAATGCACTGTCATGCGCGCTGCTGATTGCATTACGTCGCTAATGCACCGTGACACCCACTGATAACGCACTGTCTCGCTTCTGCTCCGGTAAGAAGTAACGCTCACACTGAATACTTTGATAGGCTTCACGACAATAAGGGCCTGGCAAATCCGCCCATCCGCGAAGTACCGCTCCGAGGGTGTCCCTACTAAGTAGTTTAGTTTCCTCCGTGGCGTCTGACGCCAGCTGCTGTCACGACTCAGCGATACCACATCCGAACCGCGCGCTGGGCACAGGCCCATGTCAAGGCTGTACCTGCTTATAGAAGCAGAGCCGTCATCGGATCCTGGGGAGGGTGAGGTCCGTAGGTGGGGGGCAGTAATGTTAGAACTTGGTTCTGACGTTCATTAAATCATGCAAGTAAAGCACAGCGTCAAGTCCTCTGCAGGGGCCGGGACCCCTCTAGCTTCCTGAGTTGCGCCTTCACGTGCGTAGCTGGTGGGAACTATACACGTGGTTCAGCCTTTTGTCTGAAATTCATTCGAACTGCGCGCTGGCCGCATGCCCGATCACAACCGGCAAATGGCAAAGGTAACGAACCCGGAGTGGAC